TTCCAAAATTGCCTTGAAGGATAGACTAGGCACCAGCGTTGGTACATAGCTTCCCAAGGGGAGGACTTCAAGGGTGACCACATGAGCAATGAGATGTGTAGCATTTTTTCTAGGATGAGTTTGCGAATTGATTGTTGGACCTCATATATAGCTAAGACTACTTGTACTTTTTTTTTCCAAATGGTTCTTAACTGGAGTTGATTTTGCCCTCCAGAAGGCTCTTTGCAATCCAAAGACATTTTAGTTGTCATAGCTGAGGATCTAGTAGCATCTGGTGGGCAGAGGTCAGAGATGCTACTAATCATCCTACAATGCACAGGATAGCCTCCTCCCAACCCCCCCAAAAAATAATTACCCAGCCAAAAATGTCAATAGTGCCAAAGTTGAGAAACCCTTTTTCTAAACCCAAATAATACATTTTGAAAGTTCATGTCTCCCCCACTCTGTGGTTAGGCTTTAGGAAGTTACCATAGAGTCTTATCTTTCATGGAGGTTAGATTTTAAAGTCAGTATGTAAAAATAATGTACAGTATTTTCAAAAACAAATATTGAAAAGTCTCTTAGCTTTCCCATGAAATTCAGTATGCATAGTATCATGAATATGCTGGGGGGCAGATCAGAACTGAAATAAATTAAAGAATTGGTAATAGCAGTGAATACTTAGCATTTATTATATTGCCAGCACTCTGCTAAGCAGTTTTTTTTTTCTTTTGACTATTAACTCACTTAATTTTCACAAACCTTTGGAGCTAAGACGTATTCTCATGGTTTGGTGAGTCAATAGTCTACCTCCGATCATTGAGTTAGGAGTGATAGAGCTGAGAATATTTAGGCAGTCAGGCTGACCTGTAATTTTAACTGCTATACTATACTGTTAACATGAGATTCATATGACTGTTAGGTAGAATTGCCAACATTATCAATTTTTAAAAATTTTCCTAGTGCATATAGTTAAATCCATGTAATTTAGAAACAAACAGGGTGTAACTCTGCACTACCGAAAAGTAGTGAAGCTGTTAGAACATGGCCACATACCAAATGGTTAAAATGCCATATTTCATTGTTTCTAAGACTTTTTTTTCACATTTTAACATCTTTGAAATCAGAATGTATCTTAAAATCAATGACTTGTCATAATTTAAATTGACAGTATTTTTTCTTATGGCACCTAAAATAATAGTGTATATTTTAGTCAGTGCTATCGTAGATTCAAAATTTCATATGTAGGCCTTCTTTATAACCTATTTGAAGCTCAGACAGTTGTTTAAAGCAGTGTTTGCTCATATGTACATAAACCAGCTACATTGGAGACTTTTGTTGTTAAACCCTATCCCCTAATTTTGACAATGTTTTGTTAATGTCATTTTAAGGTTTCCTTGCTTTGTTTTGGGAATGCATAAACTTATGATTACACTGAAGTTATACCTAGTACCTGTAAGCAATGAATTTGATATTTTATTCAAATAAATATATCTTTTTTCTTTACTAGGAAGAAAATGCTCGGAAAAGAATCGTGTGTCCTTTAGATCCGAAACAGTAAGTATGGGGTCAGATGAGGATTTTTCTATGCTAGAAACAGTAATTGTCACAAGTCTTATTTTAGATAATTTTCTCTTTAAATTTAGCACAGTATATGAAGATCAACTAACAAAGCATTTGAAAAAATGTAACTCAAGAGAGAAGCCAAAACCTGTAAGTATTTAATCAGTAAAGTTGAAGGGTAAAGCATGTGATATGTAATGTTTATATACACTTGGTAGATTACAAATGTGAATATTTAATAATCCTCAAGCCTCTGAAGACTTAAATATGTTAACTGCATTTGAGTATATAAAGGCCAGCACTATATCAGACTGAATCCACTTATAGTCCGAATTCAGGTAATAGAATTTTATGCAACAAGAGTGTTATTCCGAAATTAATTTTACTATTTATTCAAAAATATTTACTTAGTGCCTACTAAATTTATTTCAGTAAAATATGATCCTAGCCTTCAAAGAGCTTATTTGAAACTGGTAAGTAAACTTGTAAATAATGGGTGTTGTTTAATAATTTCAATGGAAGAAGTACAAATGTGATAAGAGTATATACTTGTATAAAAATTAAAATTAAATCCAAGGGTCAAGAAAGGCTTCCCCCAGACAATAACACTTGAGCTGAGTCTTGATTGGCAAAGAAAAGAAAGAGGAGTCCTTCTAGGTTGGAAGAACTGTATGTGCAAAGGCAGACTGAGAAACCACTCGACGCTTCCAGGAACTTCAGCTTTATTCTGAAACGTGGAGAACCACTGAAAGATTTTAAGCTAGGGAATGGTATGGTCAGATTTACCCCTTAAATACTTTCTCTTAGAGCAATGTGGGAGGATGGCTTGGAATCAGAAGAACTAGTTAGGGGTCTATTGCTGAAATCCAGTGGGACATGATAAGAGAGTGAATTAAAAGGATGGAAAGGGTGGGATAAATGTAAGAATTATTTATGTAGCAGTACCAATAAAACTTTGTGACTGATTGGAAATTGGGAGTTGGATACGTGAGTCTGAAACTCAGTAGAGGTTGGGCAAATAAGATTTGGAAGTCAGATACATATAGGTCATAGGTGAAGCTTTGGATTTTTAAGTTACCTAGTATAAGAGATTGCGGGGAAAGGGATTTGTTTATTCAGTGGATATTGAGCACTTATGCCAGGCATTGTACCAAGCTCCCTGCCTAGAAGAACATTACAATCTAGTGGGAGAGATGGAAAATGTAATATTATGTGTGTTAAAAGTAGGTTAAGTACAGAGTGCTGTGGAAGAATAAAAGAGGAGAGCCTAATGCTTTTTGGGGCATGAAAGAGATAGGGAAGGAGTCAGAAAGGCTTCTCTGAAGGTGTGTCATAAGATGAGACCTAAAGGTCACAGGAGAATCAACCAGACAAAGAAGAAAATATGTGTAACGGCCTACAAGTGAGAGATTAGATAGCTTTGTCTGAGACTGGGCATTTCACATGATGAGTATAGAGCAAGAGGAGAGCTGAGTAGAAAATGAAACTTGAGAAGTAGCCAAGGAGTAGAGTGTAAGACCAAGGATAGAACTCTAGGTGACACGGACATTAAAGGGTGAACTGCTAATAGGAACCATAAAAAATATTGAGAAGGGGTGGCTAGAGAGGCAGGAAAGAGAAAAACCAGAGAAGCATGGTATGTTAAGAAGCCAGGGGAAGGAGAATGTCAAAAAGAAGAGAATGATCAACAGTGTCAGTTACCACAAAGAAATCAAGTAAGATAGGGACCAAAAAAGAATCTATTGGATTGGCAGTATGGTCAGTAAAAAACAAAGAATTTAACAAAATGCATATTTAATAGAGTAAAGTGGGCAGAAATCAAATTGGAATGATATATGAGTAAATGGAACATAAAGCAGTAAAAATCACAAACATAGACTATTCTTTCAAGAAACTTGGCTGTGAGTGGAACTTGAGAGTTAGAATAGTAGTCAGAGAGGAAGGTAGGATAGAGGGAGTGTGTTTTAAAATGGGAGAAAATTTAGTTTTATATATGTGTATGAGCCAGTAAAAAGGAAAAAATTGGGAAAAAGCAGCACTGATGGTGTGAAGCTGCTCAGGAAGCAGGAGGGAGATAGGGAACAAAATAGATGTAGAAGAGACAATAGGAGAAGAAACAGCTCTTCCACTGAGGTATATGAGGAGGAGTAAAAGATGGCTATCAGTTCAGGCAAATTTGAGCTGACAGGAGATTAATTGAGAACGTTGCCATTTGACAGCTACACTTTTATTGATGTAAGAGACAAGATGATTGAGGGGGATAATGATGTAGGAAATTTGAGGAAAGAGGTAAAAGTTTAGAATTGGGGTTATGAAGAATTGCTGGGCATCTTTGAGAGTCAGACTAAAGATGGGGATGTGAATTTGAACTGGCACCAGACAAATGACTGGGTGGTTATACTTCAGCGGTGTTCAGCAGGCCAGATGTTGGGAGTTAAAAGTCACGAATGCAGCCATTAGGTTTTGTAAGGGTGCTTGTGACAGAAGGACCAGATTGATGATAATGATGATACAGGGCAACCAGAATGGATGGCATGAAAGGAACACCAGAAATTAGCTGAGAAAAAAGAAATCGAGGTCTTTAAACAGTGGAAGAATATGATTAGAATATGAAGTTATGGTCAGAGAATGGGCTAATGGAGTTTAAGATTCCAGAAGTTAAATGGTTCACAGTAATGCCAGAGTCTAGATGGCTCATGGAAATAGTCTGCTGACGTGGAGTGAAGGTCATTAGAATTAAGAAGGTCAAACAGAACTATTACGTTGGGTGGCTTGAAAACATGGTCCTATTGGCTGGACTTAGAGGAAAGAACAGCATCATATTTTCAAGCTAACAAGTTAGCCTGTCATAGGTTTGTGGCTACTGGCAGAAGAGATGAGACTCTTGGGTCAGACGCAAAGGATTTTATTACTAATTGCATAGCAAGCAACCTGAAGTTCTTGTCTGCATCAATTCCCCTTGTTCCCAAGGCCCATGGAGTCAACACAGAGGGGCCTCGCTGGATGTAGCACCTGTTTGTGTACAGCTCGTGTCGTAGCTAAAGAACCTCAAGCTTCGGAAATACAGATCTTCTCAAATGGGCAGTAAGGAAACCTGCCTGACCTTTGTTCCAGAAGTAGACATTTCTTTGTTATACTGTACAATAAGCAGGACTGCCATCTGCCCTAGAAGGAGACACTGTCTCCATCTTCCAAGACTGTTTGATATACAAACATCCTTGATAAGATGGTCTGAGACAAATGTAGTCAGTGTCTCTGTAAGCCTTTCAGATAATTGAGAGGCCTGTAGAGAATTGTCTCCCAGTAGCACCTCTCAGTCATTCTGACAACAAAATATCCCCCGTATATTTCCAAATGCCTCTCAATTGAGAACCACTAGGCCAAATGGCATAGACTTCAAAGAAAGTATTTTTACATTAAGATGTGTTGAAGAAAAAAGATGACCACCCCAATTAGCCGCTTAGTAAGAAGAAAGAATGCTGCCTTTACTTTCAAGTGTGTATGGAGGTTATCTCCCTTTTCTAAGTCCAGGTTTTAGCTAAAGCAAGTAGAATATGTGTTCTGGGAAAATTTTGAGAGAAGAGGTGAATTTATTAAAAAGGAATACCCCTGCGCTGATACATTGGCATGTAGTGGAACACAGAGGAAAGCAAAGGAAGAAAAGCAGCGGGATGATGAGATGGAGGAAAGAAATGCAGAACAGTGTTCATCTAGCACACTATGTGTAATATGAAACTAGGAACTCAGGTAAAGTCTTATCTTTACTTTGTAAAACTGTTCAACTTCTTTGAAATTTCATATACTAAATGACAGTAAGTTGATAAGTTTCTGCAATATAAATAAATAGTTTTCACATTTAAAAATTTGTTCCCCAACACAACTACCTGGAGCACTCTTTGCAACCATTTTAAACTAAGAACATATCCAATTAGAGTAGTTGTAGCTAATTTTCTATTATAGTTTTGCCAGTCCCACAAATCATTGCAATGCCTGCTCTCTTCACCTGTTCCACTTAATCACTGGTTTCCATTATTATCCATGTAGGTAAAGCTCGCAACACAAAATCAGCATGTTACTTTTCTGCCATCTATGTAACAGAAGTTCATTATTATGCGTAATATCCCATGAGTTGCTTTTATTTTTAAAACAGGATTTGTAGAAATAGTACTATTTCATTCATCTGTAGCTACATGGTCCAAAATGGTAGCCACTAGCCTGTGTAACTGATTAAATTTGAGTTAATTGAAATTAAATAAAATTAAAAATACAGTTTCTCAGTCACACTAGCCACATTTCAATGGTTGCTACCATGTTGGCCAGGGAAGGAATAGAACATTGCTGATCTAGAGCCTGACCTGGAATCTGTCTGAAAATGGACCAGAATGATCTCACTATATTAGTTTAAACAATATAGGGAGCATTTGAGATCTTGTTCCCTGGCATATGTCGTCAGTTGTGGCTAAAATAAACTCTTATGAAAAAAATTCTCTACAGGTTTGGACATTCTTACCTTGGCACTGCTAACATTGATTAACTGCATAATCATAGCCACTGCTTCATATGATACTGATTTAGAATATTTAAATTGGAATATGTAAATTGAAAATAATTTCAATGAGAAAGACAGGATAACTCAGTCTTCTAGCATGACTGACCCACTCTTTAAAAAATTTTTACTGATAGTTTAGAAAACTTGCTTTCAGTTTCATAATTCATTGTGAAAGTTTAGGGTGTTGTCAAATTTGAGAAAACCTCTGTTGTGTGTTTTCCATATTTGAGCTGCAGGATATCAGGGTGTTTCACATTTTCCTGTACAGGGCCCAGTCTGAAATAGTATTTGAATTGAAGATGCTCATTAGCTACATTGTTACCATCAAACATCCAGAGGCCTTGGAAGGGGCCCTGGAAATGTGTTTGTGGAGGAAGGGAGGGGCGGGTGTGAAGGGGGCCCAGAACATGGGGAAGGAGTATGTGTGGGGCCTGGATAGAGAGTGTGGGGGGGATCTGGTCATGGTGGGGAAGGAGGGGGAGACTCCAGTGGCTGAGTCAGGGAGATAGTAGGGTGTGAGTCCAGTTGTGGGGAGGGATCTGGTGTGAGGGAATAGATGTAGGGGATGCCCCGAAGTGTGGGGAGCCACCAGAGCTTGCGGGGAATAAAGAAAGAAAAACAATATAGTATCAAAGGACATTTCTATTTTTTATTTTAATTAGTATTTTAAATTAAAGAAATCAGACCTAAACCGTTGTAATGTCTATACCTTGTCTCTGTTTTTGGTCATGCTGCCCATTTGATAAACAGCCATGTGTAGTTGATACTTTGTTGTTTTTGCTTTAATATCATAGACAAAACTGGCACACTCCTCAGTCTATGCTATAAACATAAAAATTACTAATGAATTTCTTTAGACTACAGATGTTTATTCACTTAACCACCTTACTAGAATATAAGATCCGTGAACACAGATTTTGTCTATTATGTTCTCTACTCGGGCGAATCCTCACCACCTAAAGTAAATTAAGGAGAACTGGTCAATAATTAATGGGTAAATGAATGGGAGGAAGGGAGGATAGTAGTTACACAGTATGGGAAGAAGGGAGGGACCAGTTTTCAGCTTAACTTTGTAAACTCTTCACATTAATAACAATATTTTTATGGTTTTGTTTTTTTAAGGACTTCTTTATTCAAGATATTAATGCAGGCTTAAAAGATGAAGCAGAAATACCTGAGCAATTAGTAAGTACTTGACTTACTATTTAATTTTAAAAGATGTTTGTAAGCTATCTCCACATTATGAATAAGCTGTGTTCCAATTTTTGTTTGGAATAAATTGATTGTTTTGAATTTAGAATTCATTTTCATATAGAATTAATATTCTTAGTGATGGTCAGTTCCCAGACCTGCTCATGCCCCATGTTTGTTCTCTAGGTTCCAATTTCTTCTCTCTCTGAAGAGCATTTGGAAAGTTTAATTAAGAAATTGAGAAAAGCAAGTGAAGGTAAGTCTGCCTAAAGTTGCAAGTTCAAGTTTTTTAAGAACAACAATTAGGTGGTATATGAATTGATATCAGCTAGTTTAAAATATGTTACTTACCATTGTTCAGCGCCCTACGGTTTCATGTGGTTGCTTAAGCTGTTGTGCTTATATTTGACACAGGTTTGAACTCTACACTTAAAGATCAAATTATGTCCCATCCAGCATTGCATGATGCCCTTAATGACCCAAAAAATGGTGATTCTGCAACCAAACACCTGAAACAGCAGGTATGTTTAGGCCATAATAATGCTACTAAAAATGGCCTTTTGTTCATTTGTCAAGAGCTAACATTCTCTTCTTTCTAAATATAGTTATTAATGAGATTTCGTTTAGCTTATCCTTCAGGGTACAGAATCTTTCCATTTCAGAAACATGTATAAACATATATAAAAAACTTTTGACATGGATATGGTTCTGAATGCTGCATGTTAAATATTTTAAAGCAAGAGAAAAAGTTTAAAGCCAACAAAGATTATCAATGTGAACATGCTGCCTCATGTAGAAATTATCTTGCTATTTTCCCATTTGAGCCAAATGTGTTTGCTCTAGTTTATAAAATAATCTCGTGAAGTTTGCAGGCTTCTATTTTAGGTAACATTGAAAAATTAAAGTTACTTGGTCCAAGAAGATGCTTTGTTGAGTTTGGAGCAGGAAAGGGAAAATTATCTCATTGGGTTGATATTGCCTTAAAAGATGCTGAAAAAGTTCACTTCATCCTAGTAGAAAAGATGACCACAAGATTCAAGGTAAGCGAAACTATTACAGTATATTAGTAATCAAACTTTGTTTTCACTTTTATTATTAAAAAAAAGGAAAAAATGATAGAAACATGTCTCTTAAAATGAATTTTTTGTATTTATTTGATTATAGTTTTTATTCTAATTATATTGACTTAAACTGAGGGTAAATTATTTATAGAGACAAGAAAATATGTACAGAGAGCCGAGCTCAAGCTAGGAGTTAAAAGTTTGGGGTCTTAACGCTACCTGTGTCACTTACTAACTCTTCATTCAGTAAACATTTATTGAGTATACTGCCAGGCACCATGAAAGACACTGAGTAGGGAAAGTCAAATAAGACAAGGCCCCTATCATCTATGACTTACATATATATAAGAGAGAGAGAGAGAGAAATCAATGAATGATTATAGAAAAGTGTTAAAGAACCGAAAAACTCTGCACAGAGCTTATTGTGGGTTTAAAGGAGGGAATGACAAGTTTTACAGCAGGGAAGCAATGGCGATTTACTACACAGAAAAGGTGATACTTGAGCTATATATTGAAAGGTGACTTAGTGTTTGCTAAATAGAGGGTTTGAGAAAGATTCTAGGAAGCAAGAATAGTATTACATAACCAAATACCTGAAACAACAGAGAAACATGGAACCATTTCTGTGTGCTGGGAGGACATGTTGCGAAGAGTTCAGCAGTGATGAGAAGAGAGGAGGGCTAAACTATGGAAGTTTCATTTATGCTATGGGAAGAGTATGACTTAATCCTGCTATATTATGGGGATACAGTGGAAACAAGATGTACTTCCTGTCTTCAAGAAGCTTACATCTAGTGGGGCAGCCTAATAAGCATTTTGGTTCAACATGCTAAGTGTCTTATGGTAATGGTAAGTACCAGATGCTATAGGAGCTTGAAGATAGAATGCCAACCTCAGTCTAATGTGGGTCACAGGAGGTTTCTTATAGGAAGTGACAGCTGAGAAGAGACTGAAAGAGTATATAAGAGTTGGTGAAGTAAATAAAAAAAGGTTTTCAAAAGCTTATCTTAGTAGTACCATTAAAGCTATATCAAAGAGTCTAAAACTTGAAGTAGGGAGGTTAACTATAAGATCGTCGATATCCAGTAATCCAAGTAAGAAATGGACCAGAGCTAAGGCTGTGCCAGTGGGAGGGAGAGGAGAGAAGAGAATGAGAAACGTTAAGATGTCGGAAGCCGCAAGACTTGGGTGATTTGTTATTGATAAGGTATGAGAGAGAAAGAATTATTTCAGGTGACATTTATGGCTTAAGTGACTAAGTGGTGCTCTTCCCTGAGAAAGGGAACATAGGAAGAGGAAGAATAGGTTTGGAGGGAGAAAGAATGAGTTTAGTTCTGAATGAGTTTGCTGTTGGAGTTGAGTTTTCCAGCTCACATTCGGACATGTGTCTGATGCTCATCAGAGAGGTCTGGTGAGTGGTCCACAGCGTAGATTTGTAAGCCAGAGGCACATGGATGTAGATTAGAATGGCTGTGAGCTTTCAGGAGCATAAGAAGAGGAGTGAGCCAAAAACAGTGTATTAGGGCTGACAAAGATAAAGGAGCAGGCAGATAATCCTAGTGAGCCTTAGTTCCTTCATCAGTGATTTGGGAATGTTTAGAGTTAAAGGAAACAATGTATACATAATAATGAATAGCATTTTCAAGATTTATAAAAATGTATGATATTCTTACTTTGGAGTTTTCATCAAAGAATATTTAATCTTTAATTTTTTTATTAATGGTCCTCTTTTTTATATACTAAAAAATAATATGGAAACTTATTTGTTCTGGATTTAAAACAAAGTTTTTTTCATAAAGCTTTTTTTTAACATAAAAAGGCATTGTTATAATAATGTTCTATTTATGCAGGTAGATGGCAAACACAGAAAGAAAAATTCAGTGTTTGAAAGACTTCAAATTGATATTCAACATTTGTGTTTGAGTAAGTTGCATAACTTTCAGTTGCTCTACCATAAATCTTAGAAGTTTTGAACTCTGAGGTTTGCTTAGAAATTCAATCATACAGAACAGTGCTTCTAGGAAAACAAAGTAAAATTATTTATTGCTAATATAGAATGTTATATATTAAGTGTATATTTTGAAAAGTGAATTACTGTTTGACAGAGAGCTTGAGAAGTTAGCTATATATTTAGATGTAAATTGAAATACATTGAAACTTTAGAAAGTTGTTTTTCAGTATCAATTAGAAATGAAGTGTCATATTAGGGAAGAGTTTAATGTTTTTGATAATGTATCCTTATGTTGCCTCTTTGTCGTGTTTAAATTATTGAATCTGTTCATACCATACACTAACCTTCTGCCTATAGCTAACATGACTTTACTTAAACTATTAAAGAAATGAGATAATTCTCTGCCTAGTTAATGTGTAAACTGTGCTTCCTAGAATATTAAATTGTATCAAAGAAAATACTAACTCTACTCTGTGGGGCTCACATTTCATACACACACAAACCTTAAATCATACTCTTTAGTGTCCTTCCTGTATCTTTTTATAGTTTTTCATATTATTTAAAATGAAAATAGTACAATCATATGCCAGCAACCTCTTTCATCCACTAATTGTAATGCAGGCTCATGAAGCAACCCAGTATTGATATATAAATCACTGTATTTAGGGCCGGCCGAGTGACTCAGTTGGTTAAGAGTGTGAGCTCTGAGCAACAGGGTTGCTGGTTCGATTCCCGCAGTGGGCTAGTGAGTTCAGCTGGTGAGAGTGTGCACTCTTGCAACAAGGTTTCCGGTTGGACTCCAGCATGAGATGCAACTAAAATTGAACAAGACACCTTGAGCTGAGCGGCACAACTGTATTTGGAGCTGAGCTAGCTGCGCCCTCCACAACTAAGACTGAAGGACAACAACTTAGCTGTTCCCCTTCCCAGTTCCCCAACACTGTTCCCCTTCCCCAATTCCCTAATAAAATCTTTTTTTAAAAAAAGTAACATCAATTTGAAAATAAATAAAAAGTAAAAAACATCACTGTATTTAAAATTATTTAACTGAATATATTTTCCAAAGTTGTGAATCCCAAATTTTTATGCTATGTACTGAATTCTTATTAACTGAAAAACAGCCTACTATATTTCTTGAATAGTCCTATATGACCCTTCTATGCTTACCATGTGCCTTCATCCCATATTTTTAAACCAAAATAAGAGAGAGATTAATAAAGAAGGAATTGGGCAAATATGTACAGTCTAGTTCAATACTGCCCTTTAGAATTTGCATTAATTTTGGGAAATCTCTCATGTGCTAAACAGTGACCTACCCAAGATTATAGCTACCAATGAAAATGTGGATTGTAATCTGATTTCCGTACTTCAGGTGTTTTGGTTTTTTTTTAATGTTTAAAAGACGTATTTAATGACATACTGAGAGATTAAAGGTAGTTTCAAAATGGGTAAAAGGTGGCATTTACTTAGAGGACTTCCCTTCTGAGGTGCAGGGGTGGAATTTACTATTCATTTTAGGGAAAGAGAAAGAGTAGGAAGTACCTATTGAGTAAGTTTATTGTGAATATTCTCCCTTTTTGTTTTTTTGGGGTTTTTTGTTTGTTTTGTTTTGGGCTTCTATTAAAGTTACATGTGTGGTTAAGAGTCAAATATTTCTACAAGTTCTACAAGTTGTTATAAAAACAGCATCAGCTAGTGCCCTCCTTGCCATTTCTCTCTTCAGAGAGAACCACCTTCACCTCTTACAGGTGAATTTTTGTATTTGCCCAGTCTCTAACAACAGGCTTATATTTTTGCTTCTTGTTTTTTCAAGCATTGTCCGTTGATTTTTCCCTAGGGGAGATAAAGATTTTCTATCCCTGCCCCACCTCAAATGAATACACTTCCCATTCCTCATCTTCCTAATATGCAGTAAATGATAAAGTCAGTTTTTCATAGCTGAGCTGTGTAATAAATTTAGTTACTTTTTTCTATACAAATTTTATTGTCTGTGAGTTAATGTACAGTCTTGTTTACTTGTCTTTTAAAAATGTATTTAGCATAATGTATACATCAAATATTCTATCAGTTTCCATCTTCCTGAAAACTTCTCTCCTGTATCCTCAATCCAGACTAGAGGCCTCTGTTGTCAACCTTAAAACTCTCTTCAGTCTCATTCTGTGTATTTCCTTCACTCACCTAGGTTGGAATTTTTTTCCCCACATATTATCCCTCATCTTCTGTCTCCTTCCAGAATTTGGGAGTTTATACCTTTAAAAAAAATCCTTTTATTTTTATTTTGGTGGAGTTTTAGGAGGGAGCAAGCTAGCTGCTTGTATTCAATCTGCCATCTTTTCCCAGAAGTTCATCTGCCCTATTTTCCAAATCCAACCAAATAGGAAAGAAAAGAAAGCACATGAGGCGATTTTCAAGCATAAAAGTGGAAGAGCTTTCTTAGACATCTTTTATCATCACCCTATTGAATGATAAGTTTCTTGAAGCACCTAATTGAAACCTCTGTATTCCCTGACATGGTCAAACTATTCCAATTGTCATCAATTTCTGCCAACATGAAATACCTTCTGAAAGCAAGCAACAGAAAAGTGGAAATATTTACTAAGTGCCTCCATTGGACAGTTCATTATGCTAGGTGCTGTAGCTGACTTTGTAGGGAGAAACAGGGTTTTCATTTCAGAATCTTACAAGTAGGAAATGAAGAGTGGAAGAAGATGGAAGCCGTGACTGTGATGTAGTACATTGTACTGCATTATCTTATAGACATTTTTTTTTTACTTTTAATAGAACTGTTACGAATACTTTTATTCACAATGGTGTGAAAAGTTAAGATATCTTATTCTCTTTTTTTTTTTTTTAAATTGGGGAAATGGGGGAGGGGAACAGACAAGTTGCTGTCCTTTTGTTCTTCAGTCTAGTTGTGCAGGACGTCGCTTCACTGGCCCATGTTGGTATTATTATTGCGCTCTTCCCGGGTGAGGCAGATCGGTTGCCGGCTTCTGGACAGCCGCTCACGCCGGCTCTTGGCAGCTCATGCCCGCTACCAGCCGCTCACGGTAGCTTTACGGCAGCCCACTGCAGCCTACGCTGTTGCTGGCAACTCATGGCAGCCCAGCTCCAGGTCGAGCTGTTGTTCACCATCTTAGCTGTAGAGGGCGCAGTGTCACTGGCCCTAATGTGGGATCCGAACTGGTGCTCTGCTGCTCAAAGCTGGCGTTCCAAGCCAGGTCTTAACCAAGGTGCCACTCGGCCGACCCAAGATATCTTATTCTTGATCAAGATATATTAAAAGCTCTCGAGTTTGATTAGAATATTGAACATAGCATTTTATATTTTAAATATATTATGTGCTGGTTATATTAGTCATATATTATCACATTTGTTGCTTATACATTATTAATCTAGTGGGGAAAGTTTTGAGTTTTTTTATCAGTGGGTTAATAATATTTAGGAAAATAAGGCTTTGTCAGAGGAAAGTCCACTCAGTATAGAAGAAATAGCATTGGCCTAAGAGTCAAGAATTTTTTTTAATTAAAATTTATTGGGGTGACAATGGTTAGTAAAATTACATAGGTTTTACATGTACAATTCTGTAATACATTATATATCACATTGTGTTCACCACCCAGAGTCAGTTCTCAAGAGGCAAGAAATTTTTACTCCAATTCTGGCTCTGTCAGTAGTCATCTGTGTTACTTACCAAGTCACTTTATCTTTGAGCCTCTTCTTCTGAAACTACAAAGTGAGAATTTTTTGTTTGAGTCTCTTTCAGCCCTAAAATGCATAGGTTCTAATTGGTTCTGTGTTTTGGGAGGCCACATTATGACCTTATCTCAAAAGGGAGCTAATTCTCATTTGCTTTTATTTCAGACAAGATTCCTGTGCTAAGCAAAGAAAAACTACCTGTGGTAGGAATTGGCAAGCATCTGTGTGGTGTAGCGACAGGTAAGTAAATGCACTAATTATGTCTCGATGGACACTTAAGTTTTAGCTTAACACGGTCCCAACCATTTCAGTAGCCTCTTTTGAATTGTTTATATCATTTATGTTCATAACTCGTAATCTTCATAGTAGCATTGGCCCTGTGTTATATCAGATATAGAACTTTCCTACTTATCTGCTCATCTGGCCATTTTGTAGGATGAATTAAGGGTTTTGTGTGTAAATACTCTTGTCATATGGGACCTTAAAATTCTTTGGGTTATATTTCAACCAAAAAGGAAATGAATCCTTTATATAAACTGTATGCTTCCAACCCGGAAGCTACTGATCTTTTTTAGAGGAGTTGCTTGGCAAGGATTCTGAAACCTTCCCCACTAGAAAATGATTGTGTATCAGGATTCCGGGGGAAAAGAAAAAAGAAATGTTAGATTAAAAAATCTAAGATATCTTGTTTTAGCACTTCGATTCACCAGATCTAGCATGGTATGGGAGAAGAGCATGGGCTTTGAAATCAGTCCAGGATTCAACTCTGCTTTATAACTTTGGCAAATTACTTAACTTTTCTGAGCTTGGGTTATCTCATTTGTAAAGTGGGGATAATGATATATAATTTACCACATTACATGTGAAGTGTCTGGCACATATTAGTGCTCAATAAATGATAACTGTTGTTCCATCTTCTTCCTGGCCCCTACTGATTTCATCATTCACACATATGGGGAACTTGGAACTTCCGTAAGATAATATTCAAATTGGCTAGAAATGGCTGGAAATATATTTGTGTTGCCCTTCATAATTTTTAGATGACTTATATGTACTTATCCCATTTAATGAGGGTTAAAAGCCTTCTGAAGTAAGCCAGTTGGTCCTGGGGAGGGAAGAAAGCACACTCCTTTACTCCCACTCATCTAACCCAAATTCCTTGGAAGTATAATCTATATTGGCCATTTCTTGTGTTCCATACACTGTTCTCCCCTTGATTCATTGTGTCTGAATTCTCCCTTCATCATTCTATCATTATCTTACTGAAAAAATCTCTGCCACAGTTGCTTGCCCTTCTTGAATTTCTGTTTCCTTCTCCTTTGGGACTTTCTTCTGTCCTGGCTCTTCCCCTCCATCCCTGCCATTCTTTTGCTTTTTAGCTGAGCCACCTGCCACCTGTTGGCAGCTCAGCGGCAGCTCAGCTCGGGCCGGGCATCGAACCGCTGTTGCTCAGAGCTCAAACTCTTGAGCGAGCTCTTAACCAACTGAGCCACTCGGCCGGCCCCCCATCTCTGCCATTCTTTCCGTGTATGTCTCATGGGCTCCTTCCATGACCTGTCCTTTATGTGTGTATAGTAACACTCAGACTCATTTGCTACACACCTAATCTGCCTTTCTCCTCCTTCAGACTCTTCAGTAGCTCCCAATCACTGACAGCATGAAGTCCAAGCTGTTTAACACGATGTCTTACTCTCATTCTGGCCTCTGCCTTCTTCTCTTCTCTACTCCCCACCTCCAACTTGACTGGTCAGCAAATTCAAGCTCTGTATACTGTCCCATACACTGTACTGTGTCTACTAGACCTGGAATTCCAACCCCCATCCACCCACCCACCCAATAAAACACTGATGAGTTCGTACTTACTCTTCAGCTCAGTTGTCCCACTTTCAGGGAGCTTCCTTAAATACGATGCTCCTCCTTCATGTTTATCGTAATACCCTCCATACATCTTTACATTATTATATTTTAATTTTAGGTCTATATGTTCTACCACTATGATGTGAATTTTTTGAACATAGGCAGTGTGCTAACATAATGGCTGCCGTGTAGAGGAACTCAGTCAATGTTTGAGTGAATGAATAATCTTGGCTGCCACTTTGCTGCGTTTCCTTGTCCCTTTCTAGGTATATGGCTTTGTCCCTTAAGTTCTCTGTAAAGGAGAGGTTGAGATAGACAGCTAAAGCTCCTTCTGATTTTTCTGGTTATTCATATTTCTGAAAATCATTTACTTAAGTCCAATGCAAATAAAACAGTGACTGAATATGTTTGGTCAGAAAATAATAGTTTATGAAATAATAGATTAGCTATTGCTTTCTCCAAATAATAGGTCCCCAATAAGGTTTGTTGACTTAAATTCATATATTGAATTAAATTTACTAGTGAAATATCACATCATTTAGTGACTTGTGACATCTTAGGATAATGAAATTTAAAATTGAACAGGCACAGCATGCCAATCTAATAGAAGAAAAATGTGGGGTTTGAGCATATATTTGGGGTCTTCTCAGTATTGCCAACAATAAAGCAGTCTTCAGTGGGAAATAGTGATGTAGTCATCAAAAATCTATTTGCTTAGCTTTTAAATGTACTATAAATTTTTCACTTTATTATGGAGTACATCCACCTCTAAGTTTATGTATTAATCATCATAATATCTGCAAAGCCTTGCATATGAAAGGCATTCAGTAACTAATTGCTGAAGGAATGCTTAGCACAGGGAGGCCTACTTTCTGCAACCTGATTTCTCAGCTCATCAGTATTTTCTTTACACATCTGACCTCTCAGGAGTGACACCTGACATGGCCTAATCAGACGCTTAGCACATTCCTTCCCTCTTTATTGCTTTCTTTGGTTTTCTTAAGATCAGAACTTCCCTGGAAGGTAGGTACAGGTAAATATTTTCTGTACAAGTCATTTCCTCAGCCAGCACAGGAGAAATGAGAGTCAATTCAAGTAATTGGACTAAAAGTTTTTGCACATTGTGGATCTTAAGCTTCAGACAGTCTTATTGGGAAGTAGAGAAAGTGAGACAATAATGAGAAAAGAGCAAATATGAACAAAGTTGATAATTCACAGGAGAATTATTACAGGTAGAAAGCCAGGTAGGTTTTTGTTGTTTTGCGTTTTGGGTTTTGAAAACCATACTGCTTAATAAATGTAAAAAATATTTATTTTTAAAGATGATGTGGTTTGGGGGGCCACATAATTGTGTTTGCAGATCTTGCATTACGATGTTTGGTTGAAACCTATGCTGCCAGTTGTGAGGAAAGGAATGAAGAACCTTTAGCAAAACGCATAAAGAATGATAAAACAGAAAAAGAAATTAACCCTTTGGCCAAAGAAGGAAATGAAAAAAGTGTCCCAGAGAAATGGACCCCCGTGGCTGGCATTGTTCTTGCACTCTGTTGTCACCACAGGTGTAATTGGAGACATTATGTGGGCAAAGAATATTTCAAGGCTCTAGGCCTTGGAGCAGTGGAATTCCACTATTTCCAACGAATGAGTAGTTGGGCGACTTGCGGGATGCGGAAAACATCTTTGGAAGCTTCAAATATTACCACAACGAGAAAAGATCATCAGAATGACGATAGTGAAGAGCATGATGATGGGAGATACAGAATCACAGATGACAGCGCTGAGAGTTTACCAGGGTAAGTGACTACTTTGAAATGCACAACACTGGGGCAGACATATTTATTATTGCTGTACTTTCTTTTTAGATGAATATTACCAAAAACATATTTCATGAAAATATATTTTATTATCAATTTTAGAGTAAGTTAAAATACACACATTTTTATTGTGGTCATAAATAAAATGTATCTTAGAAGCATGGGACATACATAGCATGTAGTATATTGTGGGTTATCTAGCAGTTTATCAATAAATAGAAGTGACTAAAATAATTTTTTATAAACTTTTACAAAATTCTAACGATGTTTTATGTGTATTTATTCAATTTAGGTTTCTTACTGTTGGAGAAAAGAAGAAAATAGGGAAGCTTTGTAAATTGCTGATTGACCAAGGCCGAATTGAGTATTTGCAGCAGAAGGGATTCAGTCCTGCTCTACAGTACTATACAGACCCTATGGTGTCTTTGGAAAATGTATTGTTAACTGCTTTACCAAATCATTCTTCGTCACCAGAAACAACTGCTTAATGGAAAAGAAATTTTGAACATCATCTGTCTTCCACCAAAAGAAACAAAATATATTTGAAATTGTATTTTTATATTCATGAAAATATAATTTAATAGCAGATAATACGAACTTTAAAAAATGTTGTGGCCTCATTGATCTTTGGTAATAGCTTTGTTGTTTACTTGAGAAGTCCAGACATTAGCGAATTCACCAAATTCCTAAAGTAATCTTCTTGAGCAGGGCACCTTGACTTATATTATCCATCACTGTTTATAGAGATTGGTAAAGTCGTCGAACAGTTGACTTGGTTGTCTGAAACACACATAACATGTCACCATGTAACTAGCACATTAACTTTCTATTTGCATTAATTTTGGAAATTTATTTTCCTTTGCTTTTATTTAATATTTTTTATTTCCCAAGCTCCACACAATGATCAGTTGTCAGTTTCTAACAAGGGCCAATCTGAGAATTTGGCTTATGTATGGATTTTTTTTTTCCATGCAGACCTGGAAAGGATAATCAATTGTGATTTTTTTTTTCTAATGCAGACAAATTCAGAGATGTGCACAATCAATTAATGAATTCACCTTCAGATTTCCAGAGTCATACTTGTATTTATATATTATCAGAATTTGTTCATGACACACATCAAAACTGAAGAGATGTTTTCAAGGAAAAAAATTTTATTGGATAATTATCTAGTTAGAACTTAGAAACATGCTTATAATCTTAATTCACAAATTAAGTTGAAATTTGCAAATAACTTCTGAAGTTCATTAGGTATCATATATATATATATATAGATATAGATATAGATATAGTTTTTTGTTGTTGTTGTTGTTTTTTAAGCTGAGCCATTCTGTTACCTGTTGGCAGCTCAGGGCTGCTCATCAGGCCCAGACTCGAGCCACTGTTGCTCAGAGCTCGTACTCTTGAGAGAGCTCTTTACCAACTGAGCTACTCGGGCAGCCCGTACCTTATATCTTTTAACAGGACATTTTTACATGTATAATTACAAATAAAAGTATATTCTCTCCTGTTTGGGAAACTAACATGGAGTAAGGTGGCAATTAGTGAAACCAAAAACCTTCTCACACTTAGGCCTCATTTAACTCATTAAACCAAATATATGGTAGGACTGTTATTCTTTTCCACATCTTATCCTTGATTTATTCTGCCTTTATTTGTAAAAATGTATTAATCATTGGTACATATGCCAAGACAAAGATACAAAATTACTAATTTTAGATATTATAATGATATCCTTAGGTAACTATTTTTATCCTATAAGTCTATGATTACATGAATTGTAAATTAGAAGCCTAGCCTATTTTTAATACTGATCTTTCTACTTTAGTTTAATCTCATATGTTTTGTGAGACTGCTAGGTTCAAATCCCAACTCTAACACCTCTCAGCTGTATGACTTTGGGCAAGCTACTTAATCTCTTTGTGCCTCAATTTCCTCTTAAAATGGGAATGATGATAATAATACCTACCTCACAAGGTTGTTGTGAACATTAAATGAGATAACAAATATAAAATGCTTAGAACAGTTCCCAGCACAGAGGAAGCACTCCATAAATACTATTGTTAATAGTATTAATTCTATTTTTAATAAATAATAAGCAGACTTGGTTTTATTATCTCCTTGTTTAAGTTGTAACCTTTTTTCTGTTGTTATAAGTTTTATGTCAAATATTACTAAAGTAAGGTAGTTTGATTATACGAGGTCTGACAATTCAGTTCGCGAACTTGTTGCTAACCTTTTTTGATATCAGAGGGATTATTCATTATGAATTTGTACCAACTGGACAAACAGTTAACCAAGTTGACTATTTGGAAGCGCTGAAAAGGCTGCGTGAAAAAGTTAGATGACCTGAACTTTTCACCAACAATTCATGGCTCTTGCATCACGACAATGCACCAGCTCACAGCATTGTCGGTGAGGGAGTTTTTAGCCAGTAAACAAAAAACTGTATTGAAACACCCTTCCTACTCACCTGATCTGGCCCCCAATAACTTCTTTCTGTACCCGAAGATAAAGGAAATATTGAAAGGAAGAGATTTTGATGACATTCAGCACATCAAGGGTAATATGACAACAGCTCTGATGGCCATTCCAGAAAAAGAGTTCCCAAATTGCTTTGAAGGGTGGACCAGGCGCTGGAGTCAGTGCATAGCTTCCCAAGGGGAGTACTTCAAAGGTGACCATAGTGATATTCAGCAGTGAGGTATGTAGCACTTTTTCTAGGATGAGTTCTCGAACTTATTTGTCAGGCCTCGTATTTTGTTAGCGACTCGTCCCCCAATCAACACATAAATGAAGATAATACATCATTCAATAATTAACCTGATTTACTGGGTCAGACAGTGCTAATTTGCTTCATACAATGTTTTGCATCATTCAACAATTTATGCCCAGAAATAAAAGATATTCTACAACAGGCATAATCTCAGTTACGTTTCATCAAACATATACAAACACACACGAGAGTTACGCTGATACAGTCTTGTGGTTCATTTAGGTTAATGATATGTTTCTGGCAGTGGTACTGAGTCCTTTATGGGAAGTAAAGCTTGTCCTTCAACATGCCAGCCATAGGTCAAGATTATTGTTTTCCCCAACCTTGTTTATTTCCTTTAACATATCCTAAGAAAGTGATGTGTGGGGTATGCACATAGCTATTCCTTGACCTGCAGAATTTGTAGGTTCAGCAAACCCCTTGAATTTTAGATTCATTTGTTCAGCTATCTCTTCTGCATGTCCCACAGGTACATCAAATTTACTGCTAAAACTGAGGCTCATCTACCAGTTCTGTCACCTGATATGCCCACCAAACCAGCTTCTGTATTTCATTTCCCCATCTCAGCTTCATCCATCCATTTGCTTAACCAAAACCAGATTCATGCTGAACTCCTCCCTTTTCTGATCTTCATTCAATCATCAATTCTGTCATCTACTTGTCTTTTGTATTTATTCTCTGCTTTCCAAAACTAGGCCCCAAACTATTATAACTCTTTACTGTCTTCCTCCAGTCTAGCCTCCCTGCCATTGTGTGTATGACCTCGCTACAGCAGATCGAATCATTTCCTAAACATCTTTCTTGAGATGTTTGTAAAAACTTTCCCCTAGCTGAAAAACTGTAATTGTTTGCTCAGATTTTACTCATTCTTTGAAATAACTATTTAAAGATGTGACTAAAATCTACCTTTTAACTCAAAACTCCCTTGATGTTTTAGTGAATTATAAAACCATGATTTCCATTGATATACTATTGTTTCACTGTTTTGTTTTTTAAAGATTTTTGTTGAGGAATTGGGGAAGGGAACAGTGTTGGGGCAATTAGGGAAGGGGAACATTGTGTTTTTCCAGGACCCATCAGCTCCAAGTCAAGTTGTTGTGCTTCAATCTTAGTTGTGGAGGGAAGGCACAAGCTCAGCTCCAAGTCCAGTCACTGTTTTCAATCTAGTTGCTGGGGTGTGGGGGTGGGGGGACAGCCCACCATCCCATGTGGGAGTCAAACTGGCAAACTTGTTGCACACTGAGCCATCTGGCCGCAGACGCTGCTGCTCAGCTCAAGGTGCCATGTTCAATCTTAGTTGCCCACCATCTCATACGGGTGTCGAACCAGCAACCTTGCTGCTAAGAGCACGCGCTCTCACCAGCTCAGCGGCAGCTCAGCTCAGGCGCAGCTCACTGGCCCGTGTGGGAATCGAACTGGCTACCCTGTTGCACAGAGCTTGCACTCAACCAACTGAGCCACTCAACTGGCCCCTTCACTATTTTAACAATTGTGTTCTTTGTCCTCTACCCCTAATCTTGGTTTAACTTAAAGGCTTTCCTTCCTTAGTTTAAAAAAAAACACACAAAAGTGATTTAATTCAAAATTATCAGAGACTAAGTGATTGAAATCTACATAACTGTTGGTTAAAGTCTGTGTTCTTTAATATTTTTCATTCCTAGGCAAAACATTTTTTTGCTATTTGTGTATTATAGAAGAAGAGGAAATGGCAGCGAAGTTAGTGTTCATGAGATTAAAGTGACATTTATGACAAACTGATAGAACAAGATAGTGAAACTTTAAGAATTACATCTTCACTTGCTTGTGCTTCAAGTACCAAAGAAATTTATTTCCTCACTCCACTTGAAAGACTTTGAATATCTTTACTGCCTCTCTCCCCAAGCCTTTATCAAAATTGTCAATTGATTTGAATTTCACTTTTCTTCTTCCCACAATATTGATCAAGAGACCAGAATTTGACAGAAAATGTAAAATAGAATGAGAAATCTCTAAAGGAATTAATATATATAAATATTCCTCTACCAAAAAGAATATTCAACCTGGGTTATTACAAATCTCATACCTGCTGTCCGTGACTCCTGTATGTATGTGTGCATGAACTGAAGGCCAAATAATTCCTGTTCCTCTTCCGCTAGGCTTTCATTGGGAGGAAGCGTTACTTCTAATTTCAATGGATTGTCTCTGAAGTTGACATACCTAGCAGTTCACCAAAAGACAGTATTTTTATAGGTGCCATGAAAGTGTACATTTATTTTCCTGGAGAAATATCAAATGACAATATATTCAATTACTCTTTTTTAACTGGTTTCCACAACTGAACATCTTGGGGAGATGTAACATATCCCAAATCAAAACTTAACGTTTCTTTCCTAGAAAAAAAAGATACCAGCTTTGGACAACTTATTTTCAAAGCTTGTAAAAGCAGCTTTTAGTCCATAACACATAGTTAATGTGGTACAGTGTAATTTCCAAGAGCAATTCTAATGCATCTCAAATATACAGATGCACCTTGACTTAATGATGGGGCTACGTCCCGATAAACCCACCATAACTTCAAAATATCATGTTGAAAATGCACATACTACATGTAACCTACTGAATATCATAGCTTAGCCTAGCCTGCCTTAGATATGCTCAGAACACTTACATTAGCCTACAGCTGGGAAGTCATCTAACACAAAGCCTACTTTATAATAAAGTGTTGAATATCATAATTTATTATGCATATCACTTGTACCATTGTAAAGTCAAAAAATATTAAGTTGAACCATCATAAGTTCAGGGACTGTGTACAATTAATGCAATGAGCTTAACATTTTTGCACATTTTATAGATTTACTTGTGCCTTTTTATCATTGTATCTTCATCTGGTACAATTATTCTGAATAAGTGAATGAATGAATGGTTTGTTATGTAAGCTGTGGGGTTTGGTGTGAATTCTCATGTCTTATGCTCACTGTCAGGAAGTTAAATTTTGGAAGGAAGACACTGAGGGAGTTTTGATAGTAATTAACTTACTAAAAAGTTGTATTTGCTCTATCTGTAACATGATTGCATGTGTCCATTTGTAGTTATTTAAAAGGAAAATAATCACTATGTTTATGCTTTTGGTTTTTATGTTGCAGATGAGATTTGTTAGCAGTTACAAAGATGATTTTCATGAAACTCATCAACAGAGGGCATTCCTTGAAGCTGATAAATCCCAGCACTGCTTCCGTTTTACGGATTTATTCTTGAATAATTTAGGCCAGTATTATATGAATCCTATTTATGCATGACTGATTTTCAAAGTTGGAAAATATTTTTAAATGCATTTATTCACATGAATGAGAAAAATCTATTCATAGTAATTTCTCTACATTATTTTGTTCTGCAGCCAGAAAGGAATGTTTCAGTTTTGTGTCAACAACTTTTTACCTCAGATTGGTCATTTCTTCCATGCACACTGGAATATCTTGCAGTTTATTGTTGCAGAGAACAAGAGTACCCAGATTTTTCATATTGCTGATAGTTTCTGGCAAGCATGTTATTTCATTTCGTTGCAGCCATAATGTATGTAAATTTTGCATTCTGAAGAATTAAAAGAGGCTTCTGTGATTAGTCATACATAATATGAAAACCCTGGTTCTTATTAACTTAAAAATCAAAGACATGGCGTCTTTTACAACATCCCCATTAACCAGTATACGTATTGAGTTAACTGACATCACATTTCCTGATTATTAGGGAAACTGCATCGAAGAGTTCATTTCTATAGTACAGCTCTCCTCATATAGTGGTAGAAATGAAATCAGTGTATTCCAGAATTCTTCACTGTTCTCATAGGCTTTCTTAAAGAAGAACTGTTTTCATTGTTATCTAATCCAAATTAGAGTCTTAAGAGAAAAATCAGATATTATTAATATGCTTGTTTAAGGCAAGGCAAGTATGCATTATGGTTAACAGCATGTGGGGGCCAGGTTGCCTGGGTTCAAATCCTAGCTTGCACACTCACTGTGATCTTGAGCAATTTAGCCAACATCTCTGTGTTTCCTCATCCATTTGTAAAGTGCACAGAAGTGTCTGGCATGCACTAAGTGATGTCATTGTGGCACATTCTTGTCAATTTGTTGAAGTCAGTTTTTCTCTCCAACTAACCCTTTTACTTATTTGAAGTAAATGAAAATATCCTGTTAAATAGTAGCATATTTAGAACTAAATGTATCTGTTTTGATTGATAATGCTTGAGGTCACTGTTGTTGTTATTTCTTACTTATCATAGATAGCGTCAACACATCTGCTGGTAGCATGAAAAGTTACTCACCTTTCTATAGCATCAGGAAGTTGTTCCAGTCTGTTGCTTCCCAGGTCAAGCCACTCAAGGGCAGGCATGTTCAACACAGCAGGAGGGATTGCAGTGAAGTGGTTCATGCTCAGATCAAGGTGAGTAAGCTTTAACAAATTGCTGAGCTGGAGAGGAAAGCGAGGTTTTCAAAATAAAAGTCCACGGTGTAACTTACCAGACACTCATTGGTAAAGGAGGTATTTCACATCAAGAAATGTTCTCATTATGCTTAGGCTTTATTTAGTCCTAGTGGTTCACATATTTGAAATAATAAACCTAAGGAACCTCCAGATAAGTGAAAAACTCTCTCATAGAAAGTTCATCTATTCAAAGAAAGTTTATCTTCCAAAATAACCAAGTTCCAGGGTTTACAGAGCCTGCCTGGCAGAATGTGTTTTTGTTTTGTTTGTGTTTGCTTTCTTTTCATCCAGTAGTTGAGATTTGTACGGGAAAACCCAAACTTCAAAATAATAGTTATCTTTTTTTTTTTAAGATTTTATTGGGGAATTGGGGGAGGGGAACAGTGTTGGGGAATTGGGGAGGAGGAACAGACAAGTTGCTGTCCTTTTGTTATAGAGTCTAGTTGTGGTGACATCACTTCACTGGCCCATGTGGTGTTGGGATCATTGCTCTTCCCAGGTGAGGCAGTTGCTCGCCGGCCTCAGACGGCCACTCATGGCAGCTCACGAAAGCTCATGCGCCGCTGCTGGCCCACCCCACTGCAGCCTACGCCGTCGCCAGCGACTCATGGCAGCCCAGCTCCAGGTCAAGCTGTTGTTCACCATCTTAGCTGTAGAGGGCGCAGCGTCACTGGCCCTCATGTGGGATCCGAACCAGGGCCCTGCTGCTCAGAGCTGGCGTCCCAAGCCATTAACCAACGTGCCACTTGGCTGGCCCAAAATAATAGTTATCTTTATTGAACCCTCTTCTTTGCGCCTGTTGCTTTACATACACTATCTCAGTCATGGAATTTAGTGTTTGGTATTTTTATTTTTAAATGAAAACATCAAACATTTATTAAGAATAATATAAGAAACACCAGTGTGCTCAGTGTAAGAAAATATTTTATAATATATGACTACACCTCTATGTACTCCCCTCTCTTCCTCTCCAGAGGTGGTAACTCCTATCCTGAATTTGGTTTCTATCATTTCATGCATAACTTTTAATGCTTTTATTACTATACATAAATATACGTTTTCTATATACATATTACTATTATATATGTTTTATAAACAATTTAGTATTTTTTGTGTGTTTTTAAATTTTATTTAAAGATTATGATACAGCACTGATCTTCAACTTGCTTTGTTCTCTCAACATCAGTTTTTAAAATGTATTCATGGTTATAGTTTATTCACTTTAAAATATCCCTTTAGTTATGTGTTCCCCACCCCCAGTTTGAGAAAGCTGTGAGTACATGAGTCGTCCACCATTGTACCTTAAATTAATGAATAGTTCTGACATCAACTTTACAAGATGGATGGACAAAATGGCTTAGAGAGGCCATGTGACAAAAAATATAAAGAAAGCTATGATGTGCACTCAAGTTTTCGTGGACCTAAAGCCATAAAATTTCTTCCTTCTTTCTGTGTAACAGTAGTGAAAAATTCAAGATGTGAGAATTTAGTTAACTTTTATATATATTAAAAAATGCTACATTTAGTTCTGTGTTTTATTTCTATCTCAAGGCATGTTCATATTCAACAACTTTAACACCACAGAAAAATGCATAAATACAGTGTTTTGTGGGTATACAAAAAAGCAGGAAGCTTCCATTTACTAAGTGATGTTTTTCTAGCTTTAGAATTCAAGCCATGAATAAAACATTTTTTCAAAATCTGTCATCAGACTTTTAAATTTTTTTAATGGCTCAAAATAGAGTATAAAAAGACTGTTTTTACATTAGAATAAATGTTTGTGTGCAACTTAATGGCTGAAGGATAAGTCTCACGGTCCTGATTTCTCAATGGTACTACAACCCTTTGATTTTAGAAGATTGAAAAGATATTGATGCTATTATAATCTAACATTGTTAATTTTGCATATGTGACAACTGAGTCATAGTTATGTAAAGTGGTGTGTCAAGGCCACACAGCTACTTAGAGACCACCCTTGGAAATAATCCCAGGCTCAAGATCTCAGTCCAATATTTGTTCTAATAAAACCTATTTCTCTAAGTGAAGAAATTAAGGTAATGACATGTTAATAGACATGCCCAAATTCACACAACTGTGGTGACAAAACTAATCCTCCAAACAAAATCACAAGAATTAGAAATAAAATATTTATTGGCCCTCTTGTAGGTATAAAGAAATTGTTGCTGTGATGATCATTTTCATCATAAACAAGTATATATATTTCATTAAGTTGAACTATTATAAGAAGAGATAGATATAGATATAAAAACTACGTTTTACTTACAAAAGCAATAATTATTGGCAGTATGTTTATTGGTTTGGGAAAAAATGATATTTTCACCAATATACAGTGGGAGCAGGTAATAGTCTTTCTATTTTATGTTGAGTTTTATCATTTTTCTTTTTATCTTGCAAAGTCATTGTTTTCAAGACAAAGCACCATGGAAATTTCCTTTGCTGATTTTAAGAGCGTCAGATATGTGTGAAAAATAATACAAATGTCTGTATCTTTATGATCATTTGGGTTTTACCAGTAGCAAGACATCATACCAAATCAAAATTTGAAGGCTTTCCAAGCCCCATTGCCTTGCTTTTACTTGGTAGTGCCTAGGAAGCTATGTTTCCTAAAAAGGAAACTATTTTTTTAAACTGAAGAATTCATATCTTTATCACTTAACCTCTATTTCAAAAACTGATCACTCTGTAAAAACTAGTAAGCAAAAGGGTTTTTTCATCACCACAATATTGTGCTTTATGATAATGATTTATTCATTCAATAAGCATTTGTTAAGTAACAGCTACAACCTAGCTTGTGCCTTCAATTCTAGGAATAGATGTAAGTCAGACTCACTCTGGCCTTCCAGGAGATCACATTCTAGTCAACAAAAGATATGAGTACTGTAACAATAATAGGAGTATCTTTTATGCTAAATAGATTTAGCATAGATTTAGCTAAATAGATTTGTTTCTTAATAAAACAGTACATTATTCTCAAAATAACAGTAAATGGTTCTCATTAAATATTTTCTGAAATCTTATAGCATTTCTTCATTAATGTTATTTTTAATGATCACACAACTGAAAAGTAAACCACTGGTAGATGGAAAATATAATCATAGGTATTTATGTCTTTCTGACCTCTTCTGGAAGATCACATATTTCTCTGTTAACAGCAAGTTCTAGTTTCTCCAAGCTGGCACAGTGACTTAGTTCCTTCGGGACAGTCTTGATTTTGTTGTAACTAAGAATCAGTTCCTGAAGTCTAGTAAGCAGTCCTACAAAAAACAATACACAATAGAGAGTAAGTGGATAGAAAATAATGTTTTCAGTTCCGAAGTATTACAGCATAGCTTATTTGTCAGTTTCATATTGACAATTTCACACTTGTCAGGTTCTTAACTTTTCCAAGTGCATGTCCTACCCCTTCAGATAACGGGCAGGTTTTTCAGTGCTATAGACAAAAATACATTTTTTTCATTCTGTTTTATCTATACTATATCCTGACCAATTTCCTATTGGGGATTTTTTTCTCATTTAAGAAATCTTTGTAATTTTATTTCTTGCCTTCAACCTGTTCTCTTATAGGAGGAATAAATAAACCAGCAATATTGTTTTTAGACTCTACACAGTATTTCCAAAGAGACTTTTCTTCCATTGACATCTCATCTTGAATCACCTCAGTAAACCCAGAAGCTTGGATTCCCCTGGAAGCGTCAATGTAGAGTAGATGTTTCAAATTTTCTCAAGACTCATGGCTGTATAAAGATGAGATCTTTATGTATCAGACAAAAATCTTAATGAAAAGCACACCTGGAGGTGGATAAAATAGCACAGGAATAAAAGCAAACTTTCTTACCTATTACTCTAGGTATCTCTGAAATTGAATTTCGAGATAAATCTAACACAATGAGGTTCTGGAATCTTCCAATGAATTCAGGAATTTTCAATAAACCAGTTCTATGTAGCTGCCACTCCTGTAGCTGATTCAGTTTCAGTAGAGAAGAAGGAAGGGTCTAAACTCAAGTAAAAGAAATGACAGTCACTATATTACTTAAATTACTTCAGTATCATGCCACACTCAAGTGTGACTATAGATAGATGTATTATTGGATTTGCAAAAGAACTCTGAAATATTTTTTCTTAATGGGTTATATTTTAAAATGCTTTGTAGGGCCAGCCGAGTGGCTCAGTTGGTTAAGAGCTCACTCAAGAGTTTGAGCTCTGAGCAATAGCGGTTCGAGTCCCGGCCCGAGCTGAGCAGCCACTGAGCTGCCAACTCAGCTAAAAAAAAAAGACATCTTAAAATGCTTCGTATTCTATGTTTTTAAGACTTTTGTTTTTTTTGTTTGTTTGTTTGTTTGGCTAAACCTTCAAACCCGATCATAATAGAATAAACAAAAATAAAATATTTTGGTCAATAGAGCACACACATAGAACTATGTCTAAAGATTCTGTTCTAATAGGCTTTCCTAGAGTACATGTGCTATTGAAAATGAGAATATGGTGCTTGATTAAAGTCATAGAGAAACAAACAAATTTTAATAATTCAAACTGCTCATCCCTTTCTGTTATGAAATATTTTATAAAAGGTTTCTTAAGAGGATTTAAAAAAATTTAAGGACCATAAGAGCTTCAATATTTTGAATTGCTTTTTCCCTTTCTAAAATAGCCAAAAGAGAAAATAAAGGAGTGAATCCCCTAGCTAAATATACCTGTATACATGAAAACAAACACTGACCCAAGGGGTAGAGGCCCTTGTACAAATTAGAGTACACCTAATATAATTAAGCAGCTGTGTGTGTGTGTGTGTATGTGTGTGTGTGTGT